TTATTAACTACCTGCTTCCTGTATATTTCCTGGTATGGTCCTTCTTCTCTCTATAGTAATTGTAGCCTCTTCTTTAAATTTTACATGCACACACACACACAATGACTGTATACATGGGAATAAACACACACACACACACACACACACACACATAATCATGTATTTAACTATATGAATGCAACCTGAGGGTTCTGTTTACTCTTGCTTATAGGTTTATGTTTTTACTGCTGAATATTTCATACTATAATGCCAAGTTGGTACATCCTTTTTGATAGCTGATTCTCTATTGGAGGCCGTTATTTTTATACAGGTCTTCAAACGTACTGGGATGTTGTGAGATGTCATGATCTTTTCTGGCATATGAACAGCCGTTATCACTATGTAGGTTTTGTGTATGAAACAATATTTGTGAGACTAAGGATGCATTAATATATGCATATATATAAACATGTAAATATATAAACCACATTAAGTGAAATGATAAAGTGATGTTCATATGCATCCTTTAATTATTATATGTATACATATAATTTATGCCTATGCACATATACAAACGTACATGTATTTTTATACAAGACACAATTTAAGTAATATAGGACATAAAATGTTAAATAATAAAATAAAGAAGTTACAATGATGTAAGGCATGGATTGCAAGTAGAGAAGAATGAAAAATATGGATGCATGATCTACAGTTATAGTTTTCAAAATTCGTGTAAAATTATCGCTGTGGAGGTTTTCAAAAATATATGCATGTAAAGTATAATATGAACTCTCTGCCTTATAAGAGAACAACACTATAATATATTCTGAAAGATGCAAGAAATAGAAGTGTTATACACTGACTATCAGATTATGTCTTGTTAATAGAGGAGGAGAGCAAAACTGTGAATTCTTACAGAACACTCCAACACATTGGAAGGCCTGTAGGAAATGAATGACTGTCAAAAAAGCGAGAGTATCAGCTTTCCAAAGGGTGTGCCTTCTTAGGGTTATCAGGTATAAACTTGTCAGCATTAAAAGCATACACAATTGAGCAAGCAATATTTAATAGAGTCCTCGTGTATACATTTTTACGTCTACTTCTGGTATCCCTGACCCCTTCTGCTTGTTCAAGTCTATCTCTCACTCATCCAGAAGTCTACTGTTTGGGTCTCTCCATCTCTTTCCATTACTGATGAATTATACCTTTGAAGAGATATTTATGCTAGTTTTCTTTCTATAAGTATATAAGAGTACCATGAATAGTGTCAAGAGTTTGGCTCTCTCTCATGGGATGGGTCTCAAGTTGGGGCAGTCACTGGTTGGCTGATAACCAAAAAGAAGTTTTATCACGTCAACCAACTAACATGGGAGCATCAGGACCCAGAAAGACTGAACAACCAACCAAAGAGTCATAGGCCTCCTACATATTTGTAGCAGATATTAAACTTGATTTTCATTTTGGGACCCCACTTAATGTGATGTTCAAAATGAGTCTTATTCCCAAATTTATGTTGTCTGGAATCATTCTCAAATGTAAGCCAGAGGTGTCTCCTAGGTAAAAAATCAGTTAAGTTGACAACTATTGTTAACACCCTCAGGGGAAAGACTCTTCATTCTCCTGCCAGTCTAATCATACCTTCTGAGTTTCAAGAGACATGTTATGTGTTTTCAGTGTTTAAAAATTTAAATAATAAAAATATAAAGGAGGAAAACAATGGAAAATGAATTTTAAAGTAATTGCATATACTACTAAATTCCATCTTTAATATTTTGTGTGAAGTTATACAGTCTTGGCATATAACTTTTTGTGTGTGTTTGCTTCTTTTTTCACTTCCAGGTGAATACAGGTTCTTAAATATATTACATAATTAATAGATGTTTCTCTTTGATTTTATTCATAATATTCTTTAAGTGTAACTCACACAAATGTACAAAGATTGACAAAAATGTCCATTTTTGACTCAGAATTCAGATCTAAAGCTGTAACTAAACATTGAATTTCTGCGGTCATATGGAGTTCTGATCTCTGCATGCTCTCTGATAAAGGCCTTGGGAATAATTAATAATTTTCTTTGGCCCAGAATACATAGAAAAGGTATTTTGTGAGAAAAAGCAAAAAGTAAAAGAAAAAGTCGCTCTGACTGCTTCATGAGCATTATATTCCAAGACATCAAGTATTTTCATTATGGTGGAGACAGCCTGTTCCAAATGATGTGTGAATCAAATCTGAACTGGTCCCATGACCTTAAATACTCTGTCAAATTTAGGATTGATATTTACTACAAGTTTTAAAATTCAATTACTCAGGGTGTTCTATACTTAAAAGCTTTTTTGTTTGATATGTGTTACATTAAGTGGTTCATTCAGACTGTAGTTGGTCTGCTTGGTGTTTATTTATGTTTGGTTGTTCTCTCTCTCTCTTTTTCTCCAATTTGTTGTAGGTGGACAGTTTTCTTTGAAGGAGATATTTATCACTACATGAATCAGAGGGAAAAAAAATATGATACCACTTCTAATATGTGTCATGTCATAAAGGAGCAAATCCCATCTTACACAAGTGAAAATCAACATAGAGTTCTTTCACTTTATTTTTCTATTATTTTAAACTGTAATCTGAGAGTTAATTTTTTTATCAGTTCTTATTAAAAACAGTGTATAGAAATGTGCCCATATGTGTGAAGGTAAGGGAGAAAAAAACAATGACAAAAGGCAAATTATAAAGTTGTAAAAATACACTCATTTAAGTTGATGGATATGATTTTTGTTAGATGAATCAGAGATAAGGGGAAAAGAAGGGCTAGAGAATTTTGTTAGAGTTTAGAACTGTCAAAAACCATCGAGAAAGGCTAAGTCAACAATATAATCACAGGAGGTAGAGGAAGTAAGGGATCTGGGAGGGAGATTAGATTGGGAAGTATAAAAGGGGACAGGATCAGGTATGGGAAGAGACAGAAGAGAAATGCAGACTGTCAGGAAATTGAATAAAAATATGTACCAGTGGGGTATGGTGAAATGGTGGAGGGGACCACTAGAAAATCCCAGATGCCAGGGAAGCAAGAGACTACCAGGACCCAATGGGGATGACTTTAGCTGAAATATTCAACAAATGGGGGTTTAGAACCTGTAAAGACCACCACCAGTATATAGGCGTGGCCTGAATTTGAGGAATGGAGACAGCCACCCATCTCAAAATATTTAACCTAGATGTGGTACCCTCTAAAGGAACTGCAGGGACAAAAAACTGGAGCAGAGACTGAAGCAAAAAACGTCCAGAGACTACACACCCTAGGTATCCATCACATGTGTATACACGAAACCCCAGACAGTATTGATGATGCCAAGAAGAGTTTGTTGAAAGGAGCCTGGTATGTCTGTACCTGAGAGACTCTGCTAACTTTTGAATAATATAGACACAGTTACAATCAATCATCACATTGAGCCCAGGAACATCAAAGTAATAGTTAGGTGAAGGACTGAAGGAAATGAAGAGGTTCACAATGCCATAAGAACAACATTATATACTATCCTGTCCCTTGCCCCCAGAACTCTCAGTGACTAAAGCATCAACAAAAGAGTATACATGCAGTGATCTATGGCTTCAGACACATATTAGCAGAGGATTGCCTTATCTGTGATCACTAAAATGGGAGGTCCATGGTCCTGTGGAGGTGTGATGCAACATCATAGGGGGATGCTAGAGTGGTAAGGCAGGATTGGGTGAGTCTGTGGAGGAGAACATTCAGAGGCAGTAAGGGGGCAGGGCGGGGATGCTGAGTTTCCAATGGGGAAATCAGGAAGAGGGACAACATTTGAAATTTAAATAAACAAAATAACTAATTGATAATTAAAACAAAATAATAGAAAGTTTTTTGGAGTTTCATTTTTCTTTTTGATTGACAGTGAGTGAGTATTTTTTCTTTGTGAATGACTCCTTTGTTTTTTTCTTCCTTCCTTCCTTCCTTCCTTCCTTTCTTTCTTTTTTTCTTTGTACCTTTCTTTCTTTTCTCTTTGGTACATGAAGAATAAATCAATAAATAAATAAAATCTTACATCTACTTGAAAATATCAGAACTTAAATTTTTAACAAGAAAAAATATGTATTCATATTATAACATGACACAAGTATTTCATTAATGATCAAAACATAAGTATTCTATATGACAGGAGAGTTTCATGCTCTTCAACATTCATAACTGTTCTATTCACAACATCTAGGAAATGAAAAGATTTTATGAGTGTTATGTGTATGTGTGTATGTATGTATTTTATGTAGTTATGTGTAGATAAGAACAGGTTACTGAGGAGATCAGAGGCATTGTTTGCTACCTTCAGGGAGCTTCCTGAACTGAATGTAATGACTGGTGTTAATGTGTTGTGGAAAGAAATCAACCTGCAATTGTCTAAGTTAAAGGTTATCTCAGCAGTTTTGCCTCTGAAAAGGTCAGTACTGAATGGTCCTAGATATCCTGAAATACTACCGTTCTGTAAGGAATTGTGTATCTTGATCATGTATGATACATCTCTCTTTGGATCCCAAATACAGAGTTTCTGAAACACTAAGAGTTCAACTTGGATGTTGTAGGAATTTGAAGGCCAGAGATCAGTGATATCTTCTGTTAAGCAAGAAGGCTATACAAGGATATTGCAAAAACTGGAGAATAAGACTTTTGGAGAAAGCTGAGTTGAAGTCATAGCCTGTAACTGTGGGAGAATAAGATGAAGGGGAGATTCAGAGAGATGCGAATTTGAGGATGGGAAGATGTGGGCCAGAAAGTGACAGAAGACTATGAATATCTTGTATCCTGTAGGAGCAATGTGAAGAGAGAAAATATAAAGGGCAGAAATAAACAAAGAAGGGGAAAGGTTGAAATAACATGTGGTGCTGTCAAGAAGCCAATGCAAACTAAGAGTACAGGATATAAGGCTAATTCATTTGCAGGCTGTACTCACTGCCTGAAACAGGCTCACTGCAGTTCCACATCTAGCCTTGGATCCACGACCAATTCTAAAAAGACCATGGCCTACCTGCTCCATTCTCAAGTATTACTCCTAACAACCCTAATATTAGTTCTGAACCTGAGCTATTACCATGTGGTAGGTTACATGCTGGTAGGTGGCATAAGAGAATCTAGTATGGAGGAGGATGGGGCCCAAGAAGCACTGGACTTTGCTGTCAGCCAGTACAATGAAAAAAACAGTGACATGTACCTGAGTCAAGTGGTGGAAGTGAAGAGTGTCAAAACACAGGTATGAAACCCTTTATAGAGGGAACCTGACTTATTTTACAGAGGTACACACATATCTCCTTAATCTATCTACCATTCTCTCCACTCTTCTTCTCTCTGATCCTGATTTGGTCTGCTTTTTAACTAGTGATTTGAGGTTGTATTACAGTATTGACATATTCTTCCCTTTCATATGTCATTTCCTCAGATATTTTCTGTCCTCAGGAAGTACATTTAGGTGAGCTTAAGCAAACTGCAATAACTTCTGTTTCACTCCTTTGAAACTTTAGAGTAACTTGTCTGTGTGCATGTCTTTTTCTTTCCAAACTTCCCAGCCATACCAGAACAGAGGCTCTTCACCAGAAAATGTCATTAAGACCCTTGTCATTTGTTTTTTTGAATCTTTCATCTATGTCCTGTTCTGTTTTCTGTAAACATAATGTTAATTTCTTGGTTCTCTAGAGCTTTCATTGCATAATGGTATAGCACCTATGAAACCCTGACCCTTACACAAAAAGAAACCCCTACTTAAACATCTTCATTCAGGCATATTATGTGGGATGTGAAAATTATTAGAGAATAATAGACCATTGTACACTGAAATAAGTGGATGAATCTCATTTTGGTGATATGAAGCTAAGTGCAAAAGATCCTCAAGATTCACTTCCAAGTTCAAAGGGTACTTAACATTTTATCTTCTCTCACCTTTTGATTCTCTAGAGTTCTGTCAGGATGAGTCTGATTCCTTGTGGAAAAAAACAGCTCAATGTATTTAATTAAAAATGGAAGACATAGTTGAGAGTTTCAAATTCAAAAGATATTCCTATTAACAGTTGTAGCTAAAGTGAAGAAACTATAATGGTGTATTCTTTTTGTTCCAAAGTATTCTTTAAGTGAAGCATCCAAAGTTCTAGTGTCCATGCAGAGATGAGTCTAAATAAAAGAAGAGAATGGATTTTCTCCTCTCTCAAGGATTCAGCTAAATATTTATAGTGAGTTCCCACACATAACTACACTGGAACAGAGCTACTTCTTATTCATTTGTGCCTTCAGCCTCAAGTTAGTTCTGTTAGTTATCCTCCAGACATCAATGGTCCTCTGAACAGCCTTCCAATACTGATACAAACTGTATAGTGCCTCCATGCCAGCTAATTCCTCAGAGCTACGTACTTTTCCTAAGTATTAGAAACATTGTTCTTTCTGTGTCCTGTCTCAATTGAAAGTAAAGGAGCTCACATCAAGTTCAGTTTACTGCTAAACATGAATCTTTAACTTCTCCTTAGGTCGTTGCTGGACAGATATATTATTTTGACGTGATCCTAGGCAAAACAACATGTTTGAAGACCGAAGCTGACTCAACCCACTGTCCCTTAAATGAACAGGCTGATCAGCAAGAGGTATGAATATAACACTTGCCAGAGACATTTTCTTCAAGTAGAGGGATGTACAACCTTGTGAGTTTGTGAAAATACATTTTGGACCATATTCATACACATGTGCAATATTTGCAAACATGGAAGAAAGTGTGTGTTTGTGTGCATGTGTGTGTGTGTGTGTGTGTGTGTGTGTGTGTGTGTGTGTTCATAGAGGTAGACCAAAGTATATCTGAGCTTTACATGGGCAAAGGTGGAAATGTACATAAGTGACGTATGGGTTTTTACAGAAGTGTGTATGTGTAAGAGTAGTGTAGTTAGGTAAGAATACATCCATCTAGTATTGATATTAAATGTAGCACTGGTGGAACAGAGTATCTGTTCACATAAATAATTTGAGTTGTTCAGTAAGTTAAAATGTTAATTATGTACTCTGAGATCACTGTGGTGTTGCTTGATTGACCTGGAGGACAGAGCAACAGGTTCACTGTTGGGAAGACGCATTTACACCTCCAAGCACAGCTTCTGTCCAGACAACCCTGAAAGGAAATGAGCCCTGCAGTGCTGCCCTTTGCACTCAATGTCAGTCTATACAGTAATAGTGGTACAGAAGAGATACAGTAGATTTGTATACAGTGGCAGTTCCTTTTAATGCCACTTTCCCTACTATGAAACTTTCAGGAATTTCTGTGTCCCATCCCCCTAAAAATCCTCTGTGTGGAAGTGAGAGGGTCCTGTGTACTGAATGAATGCTCTGGTCCTGAATTCTGTGATCCTAGAATGAGTCATATGGTGTTCCTTAATGGGATTTCTTGAGAAAGAGATGATAAACCTTGTAAAAGGTAAATAGTAGTAATATAGCAGGTGGACATCATTACGTTGTACATCAGCAGATAATGCTCAATCAAGTTGTATGTTGTTAGACTTGGCAGAGGTTTGTTTTGACATTCACCAGCCGAATACCCTCAAATGGTTCTGGTTTCAGATTTCCTCTTAGTTTTATCCAGCACTGATCAACCTTCTTTGTTCTGTTTTATAGAGTGAATTCTGCTCTTTTGAGGTCCTTGATGTCCCCTGGGAGAATTATATGGCCCTGATGAACTCCAGCTGTCACAGTATATAAGTTTGTGGCAAGTGGCACTGTGCAAGATGCAGACCACTTTGGCACTGCTTCATCACTCCAATGGATAATCTTGCCTTGATGGATGCCTTGCAGATTACCAGTACCAAAATCAGCAGTGGCTTTGACTGCTAAGCATATATAATTACACACAAGCTGCTCCCCCTTTCCCCTTCTTCTGCAAATGCTACAATACTTTGCCCACATATGCTTGCTAATATTTTGCTCAATAAAGTGTTCAACAGCTCATTTGATCTGACTCCAGTTTAGTGTATGTAACTTTGTGGTATGGGAAAGAGCCTAATTAGAGCTCATATCCATATGTGCATATATCAAGTCAGGGGCTAATGACACTGTCATATTCCAGAATAGTGAGATGATAAGGAATGTGAAAAGAGTGGAAATCAATTTTTTCGGACACAGTGGCTCCTATCAGAGAGACAGAGCATAAGGGGGCAGTGCTGAAGGCCCCATGTAGGGTTGTGGAATTGCTTTGCTCCAGCCCATGGTCATGGCCCTGGAGAGGTGAAATATGCAGTATGTGCTTGCCTGCATGTTCCCAGGTGCCGCTCAGTGGGTGTTGGTCTGTAGAAAGCACCAGAGCAATGATTGAGTGGCAATAAAATGCAGTCTCAAATTGGGAATTTAACTGAAGCTGGTTTGGGAGTCATCCAGCCTTCAGAAGTTCAGGCCTTGTTGTTCCCTTACTCTAGGATATACAAGCACCACTGGAAGTCACTGAAGAGCCAAGAAGTGAGTCAGGGGACTAAAGGCTGAGGATAACCTCTATCCTGGGGTCAGGGCTGGGAACTGGCTTTGCTCATTGGTGATTGTCCTTAGCTTGGATTAGGTAGTTTGTGAGTGCAGAGGTGCCTTCTATTAGAGTTTTTGCTGAGACTCTATAGGTAGAGTCCTTTTCTAGTTTCTTCATGGTACCAATAGATGAAGCAGGGAGTCCATGGTTCTAAACTGTTTATTGATGGATCATGGAAGAAAATGGATGAATATACTACCTTTCAGGATCTGATCACAGATTAGATACCATTTTCAGGGAGGAATGTCTGGGAATAGAAATTTATTCACTTTTCCCTCAGGGCCTCTAGGTAACTCATTAGCACAGAGAACTTTGTTCTGGGTCTACTTCAGTACAGGTCCTGCCTCCTGATGTGGGGACCATTTTACATGTTCCAGGTATGGGGTCTGAGAGGAAGTAGCAAGTTGTTAAAGTCTTAGGTATATGCCCATTGAGTTTTCAGGTCTCAACTGATGCAGTTCCTGGCAGGGGGTTATATCCCAGTCACTTTCACCCACAGTGTTCCCTTAATAATTCTGACATTAAGGTAACTTCCATTACTACAAAGAACACTAATGACCCAGTCATCAGAGGAGAACTTATATATTGAAGATGACCTCTTTTTAATCCTGTATTCCCATTAACTAGAATTGTCCTGCATGTTCTTTAACTATCTGGGCGTATTGTCTTGCTTGTTCTTGACTATTAGCATCTATTGTATTACTAATTCCTCAACCTAGAACTGACTTGCATGTAATTTAAATGATATAAAATCATTAAAGGAGGAGGAGTGATGGAATACAGAATTAGTGGGGGGGTGAGGAAAGGGGATAACATCTGAAATGTAAATAAATAAAATATTAAATATAAAACAATCTCAAAAAAAGAATGAAATCACAAATTGACTCTCAGAATATGAAATTTGTGACTCCATGTGGAAATTTTGATGAATGGTATCTTTCTGTAACCATTTTTCATAGAAGATAGACACCTTACTGTCTCAGGAATTAGAAGACAATGTCCTAAAGACTTGTCCTAGTGTCCATTCCCCATTATTAGCATATTGAACACCTCTCCAACTAGTCATGGGGATTGCCCAGATAAAATCACTTCCATAATCAGTCAAATATTTAGATTGTGTCTGGATCCCATTTCCATGAACACTGAGGGTAAAGAGATAAAGGATTTTAAGCCTACATGCTTGGATGGAATCTCCATTCAAGTCATGAAAGTACAACTCAGAAAAGATGAAAACTTTATTGTGGGCTTTCACTGATACCTAAAAGGAAAGAACTTCCTCTCCCTTTACCATCAATAACTTAAGTCTCTGAGATCTCAAAAAACAATCCACATTTAAAAAGACAGAAGCTGTCAAAAGTTGAACCTACACTGATGCTGCAGCATAAGGGTAATTAGTTGTCCTTGCTCCTCATTTAAGAGAACATTGCCTGAAAGAAGATGTCACACATGAACAGGACTCTGCAGTCACTTTAATCACTGGGAATTGCTATACAAGCTTTATATGACTATCAGACAAATGTTAATATGCCAATAGAGAGACACCTTCTCTCTAGAGTATGCACGTGAGCTCAACTAGATCCTCTTTGTTGACATCTCCTACTCAAATGAATATCCATATCCCTGTTACTCTATGTTTTTCCTCAAACTTATACCCCCAGGAAAAGCAACTGCATCTGCATGCCTTATTCAAGGGATTTGTGTAACACCCATGATATAGAAGCTATTAGCATGTACATCACTGCAATCATATCCATGTGGAAGAAGCTAGACACTTTAGCTACTCTACAGAATTTTTATACAAAGTTAGTTGAAGTGTTCACTCCTGAGCATGTATTTTACAATAGTAACGACATAACCTGCACACTTGAGTGAAAATATTCAGCACAGTTTTGATGATTTTCACTGATGTTTGTGTTTGGGATATTTGTGTTTGAGATTCCCATTCTTGGGACTGACATAATCAGATATTAGGTTTACCTATTGATATGCTGGTCTTTTGACTGTTTAACATTTCAGATTAAATAGATGATGACCACTCCGACAAAAACAGCCATTGTGATAAACAACAAACTGCTAGATCCCATCCTAGTAGAGGCCGCCAGAGATGCTACATGTATGTGTACCAACTGATGTCTTGCTAAGTTTATTCAGATTTGTGGCCACCTTGGTTGTTTAATCCCAGATCAAAATACACGTGGTTATACAAATATGATCTTATGCATACAATTACTAGGTGGTGTCTACCTTATTGCCTCTGAAAAGCTGTTCATAGTACTATATGCAGGTAAACATGATAATCACTCCATGATTATCAGATACAATTATATACAAGTCATAATTAACTTCTGGCATCCTTTTGCATTAAATAATTTATTTCTTTACTTAACATACCAATATATTTGCTCCACAGGTCCTCTCTCAGGTTGAACCTCCCATTCTACTCAGATAAGGGGAACAAACACTTTGTATTACCCCACAAACTTTGGGCACCTCAAAGCACTGCAATACTAGGTACTTCCTCTTGCACTGAGCCTAATGAAAGCTGTCCAGTGAGGGAATCAGTTTCAACAGGCAGAGAATAGATTCATATATATCCCCCACTCCAGTTATTGGAGAATCTACCTGAAGTCCAAGCTGCACATATGTCATATATGTTCTGGGGTCTATGTTCTGCCCATACTCACTCTATTGATAGTTCAGTCTCTGTGGACCCCAAAGAGTCCAGGATAGTTTACTTCTTTTGTCTTCCTTGTGTGTCCTATCCTTTTCCTGTCCCTAAATCATTCCTTCAACTTGTCAATAAGACTTAGAAAGCTTCATCAAATGTTTGTTTGTGGGTCTCCACATCTGATTCTATTGGCTGCTGGGTGGTGCATCTCAAAAGATCATTATGCTAGCCTACTGTCTATAAGCATAGCAGAGTATAATGTATACTGTCAAGGATTGGTTCTTGAACATGACATGGGTCTCAGTTTGTGTCATTCATTTGTTGGCTAGTCCCAACATCTCTGCTTTATTTTATACCTTCATATCTTGTAGGCAAGACACAATTTGGGTGAAAGATTTTGTGTCAATATACTAGTCAATATACTTACACTGGGAATCATACTGGGCTACAGGAAGGGGTCAGTTCAGGATCTGTTCTCCCCACTGCTAGGAGTCTTATAGATCACCCAGTAGATATTCTTTGGTCCCCTCCTGTCCCAGGTCCCTGATCCAACCTACAGATTTTCCTACCCTCACCACTGCACTGTCTACTTCCAATCTTCATTTTCCCTTCCCAGCTTTCCCTACTAAGTGATTTCCTCTGCCTGGCTCTCCCCCAACTCTTTTCCCCCAGGCTACTTCCTTCGTATTCCTCCAATATCTATTTTATTCTCTTTTAAAGGCTCTCTTTGTTTTTTTCAAAGATCAAGTGTATGTAGGTATGTGGGAATATTTCTGGGTCTTTGCTTTTACTCTATTGGTAGACTTCTCTGTGTCTGTACTAATTCAATATAGTTTTTATAACAATTGCTAGGTGATATAGGTTGAGGTCACCAAAGGTAATTCCATCAGAAGTTCTATTATTGTTGAGAATTGTTTTTGCTATCCTGTGTTTTATGTTATTCGGTTATATGAAGGTGAGAATTATACTTTCCATGTCTGTGAAGAATTTACTCTGAATTTTGATGGAGATTGCATTAAATTGGTAGATTCTGGGGGCTTTCTCACACTATGTTCTCAGGAAAAAATCACTGCATGTATGTGTCAGGATCACAAGCTCTGAGTAAAATACATAATCCAGAGTCTGGTAGTCCACTAGAACTGCAACCTCATCCATGTGAAAGAAGCCCAGACCCTACACTTTTTTATATACAATTTACTTTTGCATATATTTACTTGATATATTAAAGTATAGGTACCTAAATTATATTATCATCTACACAAGCACGTGCAACTCTGCCCAGTAAAAGAAAATACACAGCACATTTTATATATTCATATATTTTTAGCAATGTTACTATATATTTCTATGTGCATATAAACTGTTCTCAAAAATTCATTGGCTTTCCTGGTCTTGAGAGTGACACAATTCTGTCCAGTGTTTCCCTCCTAAGATAGTAGATCTTAAGACAGTTTCACCTATGTAAAGAAGTAAGTTTATAATTTTCAAGGCAAATATAGCCTGAAAGTTAACCATCTCCCA